TTGAGCTACAGCGCCACTTCCGGTTTTCTGGTGGTTTATTGGAGATAGGAGTCTCACGGTCTTTCCTGCCCGGGCTGGCTTTGAACCGCGATCCTCAGATCTCAGCCTCCTGAGTAGCTAGGATTACAGGCATGAGCCACCAGCGCCCGGCTCCAGTAGCTTGAATGTACAAAAATAAGGGATATAGTAGAAAATACCCTGCTTACAAAAACAATTTAGGAAATCTGTAATACAACCTCAAAAGGTAAGGTTCCCTCACACTACTAAAAGATGTAAAAGTAAATGAAAAATGGACAGATGAGTAAAGAGGTCTATAAATAAATCAGTTCAACATTATAAATATATCTGTTCATCCTACATTAATGTGTTGTTTAATGTAGTGCCCACAATGTCGATAAGCTTGTTTCTGTGGAATTAGACAAATTGATATATTAAGATCACATAGAAGATCAAACTTATAAGAATTACTGAGGTCTTTTTCTTTAGGATAACTGGGATGATGATGATGAAGAAAAAAAAGAAGAGGCAGAAGTAAAACCAGGTGAGTCACTGTTGCTCCTACATTTGGTTTGATATCTTGGTGTAGGTACTTGGTCCTGAACACAATGCTCACAAAATTTTAAATGTTAGTTTTCTGGAATTAAGCAACCTTCCATTCCCTCTGAATTCTTTTTCTGTCCTCAAAAAATAATTAGATTATATGTGGTGGAGAAATATCAAAGGAGATGTTTAAATTTTTAAGGGTCAAATTAGAGAGGACAAAGAAGAGCCTTGGAATTTTGCTCTTCTTATTTTCCAAGCTATCACTGTATGTGTCTAAAAGTCAGGAACAGTTTGGTCTCTTCAGTTGTCCATAAACTGGATTTACTTTATGAATAAAATATGTCTTTCAGAAATAAAAATTTCAGAAAAGAAAAAAATAGCGGAGAAAATAAAAGAAAAAGAACGACAACAGAAGAAAAGGCAAGAAGAAATTAAAAAGAGAGTAAGTTCTGTTCTTCTTTAAAGTGTATGCAGAATTCTTACATCAGTAGGTACAGGTCTAACAGAGCATAGAGACTGTATAAATGGATGCCACAAGATAGGTGAATACAAATAGGCCTTTTTTTTGTACTTTTGCAAAGAAAGTACCCAGAAGGGCTTTTTGTTTTTAATATTCTTTTATTCATTAGAATGCCTTTTAAGGTTTTCTCTCATCTTTTGGCCAGTACCAGGTTTGACTTCAGGGATTGAAGCTTACTCAGCTGGCTGGTTTGCTTGCTTGGCTGGCACTCTACCACTTGAGTCACGTCTCTATTTGCTGGTTAATTGGAAATGGAGTCTCTTAGACTTTTCTGCTCAGGCTGGCTTTGAACCACAATATCAGCTCCATCTCCTGAGTGGCTAAGCCTTTTAAGTTTTGACAAACAGGAGCAGTCAGTAAATTTTTTTTTTTTTTTTTTTTTAGGTTTTAGCACTACGGGAATTTAAACTAGTTGGTCTCGTGCTTGTGCTTGGTAGGTACTCTAAACATGAGTCGCACCCTGGTTTTTATTTTTTCATTTGTTGAAGAGACCAGAGTACTTGCCCTTTGTACAGCTTCTACCTTCTGAATGCTTCCTTGTAAATTGCAGTCTCCTCCATCTTGCCAGCTAATTATCAAGCTTTTATTAGGTTCAGGTTAGACATTTCAAGTTGGAATGCTGAGTGCTTCAAGGGGGTGGGGAGAATGATGCAAGGGAATACTATAAAAAGGAGAAAAGTTCACCTATGAAGTTAATAGTGTGTGCTTCATGTTGTATCACATCAAGATTTAATGTCTAATAATTAAAAACTAAAAATATTACTAATATTAACTAATAACTAAAATTGATGAGTGGATTAAAGTGGTGACAGCCTGATTCCTTGGTTATACCACTATTTTTATCTTCTTACAAGAAATTGTTTTACATCATTTCTCTCCCTTGTGTGTCGGAATGTGTGTGTCAGTATTAGGGCTTGAACTCAGGACAGAGCGCTCATTCTTTGGTTTACTTGCTTTCAGCCACTGTTGTGCCACTTGAGCCATATTTGCAGTCCAGCTTTTTTTATGGTAAATTGGAGATCTTTTGAACTTGTCTCCTTTTGCTAGTTTTGAACCAAGATCCTCAGATCACAGACCCTTAACTTGCTAGGGTTACAGGAGGGTCCGGTCGTGGGGCCTGAACTCTGGGCCTGGGCGCTGTCCCTCAGCTCTTCAGCTCAAGGCTAGCACTCTACCACTTGAGCCACAGCGCCACTTCCGGCTTTTTTCTTTTTGCTTATGTGGTGCTAAGGAATGGAACCCAGGGCCTCAGGCATGCAAGGCAAGCACTCTACCACTGAGCCACCTTCCCAGCCCACTCAATTATTTTAATACAGTTGATGATCAACTTCTAATTATTTTATTAGAGATTGCAGAATGGTGATATTTCTCATTCTGACTTTCCTGTTTATTAGATGGCTTTTTTTGCCTTTTGCTTTTTGATTACTTTGAATGTCAAGAACCAGTTTGTTTTAATTACCAATTTTCAGAGTAAGGAAAGGGGATATAATAAGCTAATTCAAGTAATAAAAAAATAAGGTTTTATTTTTATTATACCTATGACTTTATGGTGAACATTTCTGACTTAACATGTAAAGTGTGTTTTACTTAACAGTTTTGGGGGTTTTGGTACCAGTACTGGGGTTTCAACTCAGGACTTGGGCTTTATAACTTTTTCTTTTTCTTTTTCTTTTCCTCCGGTCATGGGGCCTGAACTCTGGGCCTGGGCACTGTCCCTCAGCTCTTCAGCTCAAGGCTAGCGCTCTACCACTTGACCCATAGCGCCACTTCCGGCTTTTTTCTTATTGCTTATGTGGTGCTGGGGAATTGAACCCAGGGCCTCAGGCATGCAAGGCAAGCGCTTTACCAGTGAGCCATCTTCCCAGCCCCTGTCCCTTTCACCCAGCTCTGGCACTCTACCATTTGAGCCACAGCTCCACTTTTGGCTTTCTACTGGTTAGTTGGAGATAAGGGTCTCACCGACTTTTCTGGCTTTTTGAATTGTAATTAATCCCCAGATCTCAGCCTCCTGAGTAAGCTAGAGTTACAGACATGAGCCACCAGCATCCAATTCATGCCCATCTGTTCCACAGGATTCCATTCATGTTGGAAAGCTTATTTCTGGTTTAGTATATACTAGTCCAAGACTCATGGGTTTTCCTAACCTGGCTTTGAACTGCAGTCCTTAGATCTCAGCCTGTGATTGCAGACATGAGCCGCCAGTGCCAGTGCCCACTATGTAGTCACTGCTTTGTGGTTCATTGTTATAAGGAATTTATATTTAAGAGACTGAATCTAGATGCTATGGTTATTCATTAGTATTAAGGTAGCTTGCCTCATGAAGGAGCGTGCATGTATGTGAGTGTAATCACTAATTCATATCAACATTTTCTTATACTGAAAATCCTTGTTTTTAATGTTTGCTTTTTTCTATAATACTAGTGTTACTACTAACAGTATAAAATGTCTCAGCATATTTAGAATTTCTTTGCAGTTCTTTTGGAGTTAGAATGTAATCGACTTTAAAAAAAAAAAAAAAAGAATAAGCCAGGCGCCGGTGGCTCACTCCTAGCTACTCAGGAGGCTGAGATCTGAGGATCACAGTTCAAAGCCAGCCCAGGCAGGAAAGTCGTGAGACTCTTATCTCCAATAAACGGCTACAAAACCGGAAGTGGTGCTGTGGCTCAAGTTGGTAGAGCACTTGCCTTGAGCTGAAGAGCACAAAGACAGCGCCCAAGCCCAGAGTACAAGCCCCACGACCGACCAAAAAAAAAAAAAAAAAAAGAATATATTCCACTTAGGAGGCTGTATTGAGTCCTAGGTTCTGATATCATTTGAATATTTTCCCTATTTGCTTTTTGTCTACCTTGTTTCAGTTTGAGGGTTTTGGGTATTTAATATATTTTTGAATATATGTTCAGAAATCTACACTACACAGAAATGCTATCCTCAGAAAAGTCTCAGATTGGTACAAGTAGATCTTAAATGTTCTTACCCTACAAAATTAAGTATCTGAAGTGACAGCTATTCCATGGTTCAATCATTTCATAATATATATGCAAGATAGAATTCCTGTTCTCCCCCTCCAATTTAAGACATTTTAGCTACTTAATAATTTGTCTAAGCTTACCATCTGAGGATCAAGGTTTGATGCCTTGATACATTCAATTAACCAGAAAAGGCCAGAAGAGGACATGGCTCAGATGGTATAGCAGTAGCCCAAATTCAAGCCCTGGTACTGGCATAAAGAAATAATAATTTGTTAGCTGAGCACTGGTGGCTCACACCTGAATCCTAGCTACTCTTATTTCTAACTACCAAAAAAGCCAGAAGTTGAGCCAGTGGCTCAAGTAGTAGAGCACTAGCCTTGAGGGAGGGAAAAAGTCTCAGGCCCTCAAGCCTCACAGCTGGTACCACATCGTAATAATTTGTCTATCAGAATACTATCAGAATAAATAATAGAATTGTAACTGAAGTCTAAGGAATTATAGTGACTAAATCTCTTTGGGCCATTGAGGTTAGAATCACATTGTTGTATTACATTTTTATGTTAGTCTCTTAATATGAAGAAACCTTAATTGGAGTGTACTGAATTAATAATAGGCCTGGCACTGAGGTATTTTTAGTTTTGATGCAGAAAATATGTAATGATGTTCAATCTACTAAGACAAAGTTTCTTTTTCTTTCTAAAAAGTGCTTTTGAGGGGCTGGGAGGTGGCTCAGTGGTAGAGCGTTTGCCTTGCATGCACGAAGCCCTGGGTTCGATTCCTCAGCACCACATAAGCATTTCTGGAAGGGGCACTGTGGCTTCAGTGGTAGAGTGCTAATCTTGAGCTAGGAGCTGAGGGACAGCGCCCAGGCCCAGAGTTCAGATCCCAGGACTGATTTCCCCCTTCCCCCCCAAAAAAAAAACGTATTTTTGAGCTTTTCTAACCTATCGTAATGACCTTTCCCATTTCCTCTCCACGAGAAATGAAACGTGGTCTATTTCAGAAGCAGATTTCAAAATGAAAATCTTAACTGCACAGGGGAAAATAAGTATAAAGACCATAGGTTCCTTTCACCTTTTTCCTCAGAAAATATGAAGATTTTTCCTTGCTGTAAATAATACCATGTATTAATACAAAGTTACAGCATATAGAAAAGACATTTAACTGCTGTCCTTTCAAAGGAATGAGATTTGGAAAGAAGTGAAAACAACTTTTCTTACTGCTGTTATATCTGTCACGTTTGTTATGATAGTATTTACATTATTTAGTGGATCTGCCATTAACTCGTGGTTATTGGGCATTTAGGATGTAATTAAATTTATTTGAAAGTATAAATAATATTTCAGTGGATATCTTTGTGAAATTTTCTGTTCTTTCATCTTAGTTAGAAGAACCTGAAGAACCTAAAGTGCTAACACCAGAAGAACAATTAGCAGATAAACTGCGGCTAAAGAAACTACAGGAAGAGTCAGACCTTGAACTAGCAAAAGAAACATTTGGTAAGTTGGGGGGGGGGGGCGGGTTGCAGGACAATACTGTTAGTTGTGAACATTGAGAAAACATGTCAGACAGGTACTGGTGGCTCACGCCTGTAATCCTAGCTAGTCAGGAAGCTGAGATGTGAGCTTTGTGGTACAAAGCCAGCCCGGCAAGAAAGTCTAGGAGACCTCCAGTTAACCACCTGAAAGCCTGAAGTGGTGGAGACTTGCTGCTTACATGGAGCGCGCTAGTCTTGAGCAGCAAAGCTCAGGGACAGTGCCCAGATCCTGAGTTCAAGCCCCACAACTGACTGACAAAACATGTCTTAAAGGAAGTGTACTGCCTAATTTTGATATTAATCTGTATGTATTTGAGTAGATGTATGTATTCAGATTTATGACTCATTGTTTGGAGCATCAAAGGACTCAAGTTACTGTACTTGCTGGGTGTGGTGTTACACACCTATAATCCCAGGTGGCTAGGTAGGAAGATCCCAGGTCAAAGCCAGGGAGACCCTGTTTCTCAAAAAAAAAAAAAAAGAAAAAGTCATTAGTCCTAATGAAGTATATTGTTACATAGAGTACATTTATGAGCTGGATGCAATTTAAGGATTTGGCTTTGTGATTTAAATACTGAGATGACTGGGAGGCTGTAAGTCTCCATATGCAGACTGCATGTTCGACCAAGCTTGGTCATCTTCTGCATTCTGGTTTCTTTTCTTTCTTTGATCCTTCTTGGCCTTTACCATTTCTGTCTGCCATGTCTGCAGTTGTAGTTAGTGGACAGAGAAAAACTTTCAGGACCCTAAAAATATGTTCAGAATGTTGTAGGAAAGTTACTTGAGGGCTGGGAAGGTAGCTCAGTGGTAGAGTGCTTGCCTTGCATGCATGAGGCCCTGGGTTTGATTCCTCAGCACCACATTAAAAATAAAGGAAAAAAAAAGTTACTTGACACAGGATAGAAGCTATGTTCATTTAAACAAGCTTCTTAACAGGTGTTGAGTGCTTTTCAGAGGAGGTCATGTTGAAACAAACAACTCTGAAATTGAAATCTGTAACCAAGAACCCTCTAGTTGTTGTGGTCCCTTCCATTTTACATCAGAAGGCTATAGGAATTGTTTCCTTTCCTTAGGGAAGTGTTACCTATCTGGCTGCTGATGCTCCTGTGTGTTTGAAAGGTCCTAAGAGTACTCACCTAATTAGAGGCACTTGGCCACGATGCTGTGCTTTTATGGATGTTAAAGCTTCCCATGTAGTTATTAGAGGGGCAGGTTTATTCCATATTCACAGTCTAGCATGGGACACCAGTTAAGACTAAAAAGTAAGCCAGCTGGCAGTGGCTCAAGCCTGTAACCCTAGCTACTCAGGAGGCTGAGATCTGAGGATCGTGGTTCAAAGCCAGCCCAGGCAGTAAAGGCTATGAAACACTCAAAAGAATCACAAAACACCAGAAATGGAGTTGTGGCTTAAGTGGTAGAACCCTAACCTTGAGTGATAAAGGGTCAGTACCCAGGCCTTGAATTCAAGCCCTAGTAGTACTGCCCCAAACCAAGATTAAGAAGTAAAAAAAAACAAAAAACACAGCTGGGTGCCAGTGGTTCATGCCTGAAATCCTAGCTACTAAGGAGGCCGAGATCTGAAGATCATGGCTCAAAGCCAGCCGTGGCAGGAAAGTGCATGAGACTGTTATCTCCAGTAAACCACTAGAAAACTGGAAGTGGCACTGTGGCTCAAGTAGTAGAGCTCTAGCCTTAAGCTGAAGAGCTAAGGGATAGCGCCCAGGCCCAGAGTTCAAGCCCCATGGGGAGGATGGGGGGAGGGAATAGGACAGAATACATGACAACAATAGGCATTCATACAAGTCATTATTTGGTTAATAAGATTTTATTTTTGTCTTTCATATCAAAATACTGCATCTTTGGTATGATAAGCTTTTAATATTGAAAGGAATATAGAAAGAAGCATACTTGTCTTTTAGTCTAGAATTCTCTTACATCTCAAGTTACTGGGTAGCCAATAACTTGTTAGCAGGTTATTTTACCTTACTCTGGGGCTATTTTTAGGCAAATCCTTTAAGCACTTTCTTTTTATTCCATGGAGTTCTTTTGGCAGCTGGTGAGTTCTGTGTATCCTTTCATAATAGATTTTTAACTGAATAAAACAAAACTCAAAAGGGTGAACAAATGCAACAATGGTAATTACTGGACAGTATGTTGAAAATGAACGATGCAACTTGTAGGTAGCGAACAAGGGGAGGGGTGACATTGTACTCTGACTAATGTAACTTCAACCCCTGTATACATCACCTTTATCATAACTAAAAAAATTTAAAAACACCAAACTCAGGATTTTATTTACAAAGGTACTAAAATACTGAAACAACCCCTTTGCAACACTGAATTGTGTGCTTTTAGTTTGTGGTGGTGAGATTGAACCTGAGGCCTCCTACATGCCAGTCAAGTCAGTCCTCTACCACTGAGCTCCAGAGCCCTGTTGTGCTTAACAGAATACAGTCAAGTGGCTGAAATAATGACTGGACAATATTTCAATATAATGTCTCAACTATAATGTGACAAGATGTGATATGACAGTATCTGATCTCTATTGGTAAGTCAGATTTGTGCCTGTAGTAAAAATTGAAGATGTAATATTTTTTCTTACTCAAAGTTACAGGCCCCCTTCTGAATTACGTCCCTGGACTTCAATGAGCCTAGGTTAAAAATAGAGTTGTCTGAAGAGTGGGACAATGGGGTAATTGGTTTTGTTTTTTTAATTTTAACTTACTAATATTTTTGGTGCTTCTTCTGCCCTCCAGGTGTTAATAATACAGTTTGTGGAATAGATGCTATGAACCCATCTTCAAGAGATGATTTCACAGAATTTGGGAAGTTACTAAAAGATAAAATTACACAGTATGAAAAGTCATTATATTATGCCAGTTTTTTGGAAGCCTTAGTTCGAGATGTGTGTATTTCGTGTAAGTAATTATTCTCTAGCCCCTGTGGGTAGATTCAAGTAGGGGGCAAAGATGGAGGGGTTGTGATGTTAGTAATACACACCTGGGATTTGATTTTTTTAGTAGCTGCTCTTAGGAATGTTGTTGTATGTATAGTATGTTGGGGACAGACTGCCTTCAAAAAAAGTTGTGGGAAGCCGGGCGCCGGTGGCTCACGCCTGTCATCCTAGCTTCTCAGGAGGATCACAGTTCAAAGCCAGCCCAGGCAGGAAAGTCCGTGAGACTATCTCCAATAAACCACTAGAAAACCGCTGTGGCTTAAGTGGTAGAGCGCTTGCCTTGAGCTGAAGAGCGCAGAGACAGTGCCCAAGCCCAGAGTTCAAGCCCCACGACCGACCAAAAAAAAAAAAAAGTTGTGGGACTGTGACCACACCAGTTTATCTAGTTGTATCTTGAAATGGGCTACAAAGTGGTATCTTTTAGGAGAATGATCTTGGACTTTGTAGGATTTTAGAGGTGAGAGATGAGAAAGCCTAAGACAAGGTACTTGACAGAGCTCACATTCATTCTCGGACTGTGGCTGTGGCGCCACGCCTTGTGGAGTCATACGTTTCAGGGCAGGATAGATGGGAGTGACAGCGTGGGTGGTGTAGCACTAATGTGGAAAGAACTAGTTTTGCTAGTGTTTGGAGATGTTTTCAAGGAGTACTACACAGTAAATTGTAAGTTGAGTTTTGAGAAATGATCACTATACTGGGGGTTCTAAATTTGGTCTGTGATTATATATTCCCAGAGGCTATATTTTATTCTTTTCTATATGGGCTATTTTTCCTGTTTTGGGAGATGTGAGTGCTCTACCACTTTGAGCCACAGCACCACTTCCGGTTTTCTGGCAGTTAATTGGAGATAAGAGGCTCAGGGACTTTTTTGCTAGGGGGACTTAAGACACAGGTGATTGGTAATTATAATTTTCTTTTTGGCTGTGGAGTCTGAACTCTGGGCCTGGGCACTGTCCCTCAGCTCTTCAGCTCAAGGCTAGCGCTCTACTACTTGAGCCACAGCGCCACTTCAGCTTTTTCTGCTTATGTGGTGCTGAGGAATCGAACCCAGGGACTCATGAATGAAGACAAGCACTCTACCACTGAGCCACCTTCCCAGCCCTGATCATTATAAATTTTGGTTGCTGAGTTTACAAATTTAAGTAGTTTTGATCTAAAAGCCTAACCTTACCTTTATAAAAGGAGAAATAAGACGGTAAAGTTACTTAGGTTTCTCATTTGTAGTAGCAGGTGTCTATTTTGCTTTTTTTCAAAATACTTACAAATTAAAGGTTAGTGATATACTCACTCCTCCCTTTTTCAGTGGAAATTGATGACTTGAAAAAGATTACCAATTCATTGACTGTGCTTTGCAGTGAAAAACAGAAGCAAGAAAAGGTAAGAGCAAGCTACGCAGGGAAATGCTTATCGCATTACAGTGGGGTTGTGAGCAACTTATTCTCAATAGATGAAACTTAAGTGGGGTTCATGAACACTTTAAAGCTGGGCTAGAAGGGGATGCTCTAATGCCTACTGTCAATCATTGTGTTTATGGACATCCTGTGTGTTTCTCCTTTGAGTTAATAGGAATTCTTTAAAAAGACTTGTTTTCTGGGACCAGAGGCTTTGGTGTCTTTGTGAGGGCTGCTATACCAGATAAAATGCCCATGGCAGATAAGGTTTCATGAATTAACTCTGTTTCATCTTTAGCAAAGCAAAGCCAAAAAGAAGAAGAAAGGCGTGGTTCCTGGAGGGGGATTAAAGGCCACCATGAAAGACGATCTGGCAGATTATGGTGGTTATGATGGAGGATATGTACAAGACTATGAAGACTTCATGTGACAGTGTCTCTCTCCTAGCGTCTTCTTTCTGTTGCCCACAATCCCTTCAACATGTAGCACAACTTCTTTTCCTTTCAGTTCTGCCAAATGCTACAATCAGAAGTGCAGTATCTTTTGTGCTGGTTATTTAACCCCTTGACACTTAGGTGCTAATGTGCAAATGAGGGAACTTGGATCTTGCTGCCAAGGGGTTAAAATTGGGAACTTAAGTTGCTACTAAATCATAGTCTAAAAACAAAACAAACCTAATAATGTTGTCATTGTTGCTGTCTAATCCCATAGCAGCAGTCACTAAATTGGAAACAAAGGTTGCAACATGACAAAAAATTGTGTAGTATTTACCAGCACGGTTCAGTAATACAGCCTTAACCATACCTCCTTGAACTACTTCATACTTGTCAAGAAAAGCAGTTTGCAGCCAGGGCATGTGGTGTGCACCTAGTATTAAAATTGCTTTGTCTAAGAATTGAGCGTGAGGATATTAAGTACATTGTGAAGAAAACTTATCTCAGAGTGAAGATACTGCGGCTGAAAAGTACTGGTTTGATACTTAAAATTTCAATGACCAAAACCACCTCTGAAGCTGAAGAAGGTAAACCTCTCCATTATCACAGGACAAGTTATGGAATTTCAGTGTACAGACTGTCTAAGTTTTTATTTATCAGACTTTCTACTGAGGGAGGGAAACTACCTGTTTTTATTTGCTTGATTCAAGTGTCTGAGAAACAAATCTCTTGTCTCCTAGGCTGCAATGAAATAACTTTTAACAGGGTTTTGGCATTTCCTTTTCTTTATAAAACATGCTCAGCAAGCTGCATCAGTTAACTACAGTTTGGTAAATTGTTATGTTAACAATTATGACATCTGCAATGTTTTATAAAGCAACTAATTTAATAAAATCACTATTGTGAGGACTTAAAATTTCGTGTTACCTCCCAAGAAATATTTGAAAGTACAGAACATAGTCTCTCTAGGGACTAGAGTGCCCTGTGTTCTTACTAAAGCTTAATCACTGTTGATGTAGTTACAGCTTTAAGACTGATTGGCCAGGCCTTTGGTAATATCACTATAGAGCAACAAAGGTGAGCTGCCTTCCTCTTATTTATTTGCAGAATTATTTTATTCTCTTTAGATAGACACTAAGACTTAGTTAAGAACATACTATAGAGTAATGGAGCCTACAACTCAGGTTACTGCTATAAGCATATAAATTGAGTGATTATTTTCTAAGTGATCTAACCAACTTTGTGTGGTCTTCTTTGTCCCTTCCAAACAACCAGAACAAAAAATGTTTAATTTTTCTCCCATAGGAAATAGAAACCTCAAAGCTCTGTAGACTACTAAGTGGAAAACAGGACCACAGAGCAATAATTACAGTAAATACTGTTTAAAGGCAGACAAGAGCTAAGATTTTCTTGGTAGTAATAATGACATACACTGAACTTTAAAGCCTATTTTAATAGAAAGAGCTAACAAATGAACATGTATTCCTTAACTGTGTAAATAATATTAAATTTCTTTGAAACTGGAATCTGCAGGCACAGGCATTTTTTAATCATTAAATCTTGAATGAGAGGAAGAATTTGATCTTTATGCCAGTATACATATATGAAGTTACTTAAGTCACTGAACAGTCACTTCACATAGGTAATGAAGTTCCTGCCACCCACAAAGGACCGATCTGGCTGTCAGTTCAGATCAAAAGTTACTCTGATCTTGGAGGACATCTGTCGGGAGTTCATTCAGTACAGGAAACTCCCACCTTTACCTTTGGAGTCTAACCTGCGAGCATGTCCTTTAGACAGCAACCTGTTTGAGGGTCCTTCAGAAGCCCATTCACAATATCAAGGAATTTATGTTCGTATGCCAATTTGTAGTACAGGTAGATATCGTCACAATATGAGAGCAACTTCTTCAGGTTTTCTGTGGCCATGTCAGTAGGCTGATGTTTATATCTAGACAAAGGAAGAGAAGATGGTGTTAAGATACTTATATCTTAAGTAAGGACTATTATTAGCTCAGTACCACTATCTGTACAGGAAAGGATATTGTAGACTGGGAAGTTCCTCATACAAGTATCCCTATACTTGTATACTTGTATGTGATAAATTGTTTCATTAATTACAATAAAGTTAGTATACCAAAAGGCCCATCTGGGTTAGGGTTGCCATTTTGGCACTCATGCTTATAAAGGCATCGTAAGCAAACGTCTCATTCATCTGTTGCAGAAATCTAAGTATCATTTTCTTGTAGTTTTGTTGTTTAGAGGGGGATTTGAATTCAGAACCTCTACCACTTAAGCCACACTACCACTACCAGCCTTTTTTTTTGCTTTAGTTTTTCAAATAATGTCTTTTGCCTGGGGCCAGCCTTGGACTGTGATTTTATCAACTTACAAACCTTATTGGAGCTAGAGTGGGCTCACTGACAATCCTTTGGATTATAGGCATGCACCACTACACCCAGGTTTGCTTTTTGCTGCTTTAGTTTTGTGTGTGGTTTTTTTTTTTGTTGTTGTTAAAAAAAAAAAAAAAGATGCTTTTGCTGTGTAGCCCAGGCTGGCCTCAACAGTCTTCTGGAGATTGACATCGCTGCCATCCTAAGCGGAAAGGCAACTGAAGGTATGAGGTATGTGGTGTACCTAGCCATAAATTACTTATTTCTGACCTAACCTCAAAGCTGAGGCAAGAGAACCTACATAGTTGACCCTTATTTCCCCAACAGATGGTATTTTGCTGTCGTGCCCAGACTCTCTTTCAAGCTCCTGTGACCTCAAGCAGTGTTTCTTGCCACAGCCTCCTGCCACAATGTCTGGTTTATGGTCAACTCGTATACTTACTTTTTGGAAATCTCTTCAAATATACTAGGTCTTAATGACTTTTGCTGCTTAAATTCCTCCAAATAATTGAAGTCGCCTTTAAGAATCACTTGTTGGTGTAGAATTTCAGCCCAGTCAGGAACAAAGTCATAGGCTTCAGCCACTATAGATGCCTTAAAAGGGAGAGACGTGAATCCATGTGATAGAAAATAGAAGGCTCAATCTTGCTCACATGGATTAATCAAAGGCAGTATTATTAGTCCCACTAACCCAACTGTGAAACAGTGAAAGGGCCGATTCCTTGTATCCCCCTTCAATAAAGGACAAGGACAAGCAGTCTCTGGACAGCCTTGAAGCTTAGTGCCATCCGGGGTGTGCCACTATGAATGTTGGGCTAATGGAGAAGGATGTGGCAATGCAGGGCTGACTATGGTTTCCTAGGATACCTGGTAGAACCGAGGTAGGGCCATGATACAGTCCATCAGCTTCTGGTGGCTCAAGTTGATGATCATTGTGTTCTGGCCAGTGTTCAGAAAGTGAATCTGTAGTGTTAGCAACTTGGTGAGCTGATGACAGTGCAGGGCCTGTCGCACACAGGAGTCCTGGAGGAGCAGAGTGGAGGGAGAAAAAGGTTTGGGCTGTGTTCACTCTGCCCTTGCGTGACCCGTGTCGCCTTCCCTCTTTACTTGCAAGAGCCCAAGACCAGTGTGGAATAACTGCACTTACCTTGGCATAGCTCTCTGCTGCATCCAGCATCAGAGTCAGGGCCTTCAGCAGCAGTTGCTTCAGCTGGGGTGTGTCCTGGAGGCTGTCCTCTGCAGGGAGAATGAAGGACATTTGTTTGTTACTCACTCCCCAAGTCAGCTGAGCCCACCCAGGAATAGCTAATGGTAGGCTAAAAAGAAAACCCCAGCTGTGTTCTGGGGGAGGCAGGTATGCCCCACGCTCAGATAAAGCTTTCACTACGTTAGGGGGTAGGATTCAGAGCCTCTAGTTCATTTCTCTGAAATGACAAAGGTTACTTAACATGACACTGAATGACAAAACACCCAGCAGAGCCTCTAAGGACCAAACTCATGGGCGGTTGCCCTTAGTCCTAAGGGCCTTGTGTGGCCAGCAGTATGGTGCTGGAAGTGCTGCTGTGACCTTACCCCAGGGCTGCGACTCAATCAATTTCAGTTGGATGCGAGCAGCTGCCTCATGATTCTCCCCTATCTCTCGGCACATACTAAAGCACAGTGCAATCATATTGTGTTTCTCACTGTCCCCAGGGTGGCAGCGTTTGATGTAGTCCAGCAGAGCTGTCTTCAGGGTGCCATTCTGCCCAGGGGGGAAAAAAAAGTACCAAAATCTCAACAAGAGACTGCAAGGAAGGACTGGCCAATTCCCTTGGTTTGAAAGTATTCCAAGAAAAGATGATCAAAAATAAAAGTTGATGCTGTGTGAATCAATCCTTTCAGAAGGGAGAGAAGCCTTAAAGATACACATACGCACATCCAACAATTCTTTTCTAAGACTTTATCCTAAAGAAGCAGAGAAGAGTGCTAATGTGAATGTGACAAAGATATTTAGAATTAGGAACAATCCAGATTTCAAATAAGGGCTAGGAGTATCTTATAGCCATTAAAACAGATGAAAAGGACTATGTTTAAGGAATAGTCATGGTCCACTTACTAATAATATAGACAATTTCATAATTTCACAGCATGATATGCATTTTGTTAAAGCATAAATATATATACACATTTTTGGGTACATGTACAAAGAAAGGGCCTCTACCATGTTTTTAGCAGTGGCTATCTCTAGATGGTGGGTAATACTGAGGACCTTCTGTATTGTTTTCAAAGTGTCTTGTCAAATATGCATTACTTTTGTAATAAAAAAGTTATTAAATATTTAAATCAAAAAACTGCCTCAAAAGCAATTTAAGAAACCCTCTAGAAGGACCTGTGTCTGTTTGCTTCTGTCAGTGGGACTGGTCTATCCTTAAACTGGCCCAACATTAAAGAGATGCTTTTTTACTCTGTCGCCTAATCTTGATTGGCTGGGCCCCTGTTCCTGGAAGCCAAAAATCCACTCTGGTTTTTAACTCTTCAGAGTGAAACGAACAGAGGCAGCAGAAATGAGCTGTATGACATTGGAAACAACGTAGGCTCCAGATAAGGTGAAGTCAGGAGGCCGGGTCAATATAAATGGCTCCTTGGCTTTTTCCTAACGACTCCTAGTGACATAGTTTTCCTCATCAGAGCTGACAATTCACGTTCACCGGTTTGCCCCTGCTAGACACGTTAAACTAGAAAGGCAGGGGAGAGAAGCTGAGGCCAAAAGGTTCAATATCATTAACTGATTTGTGTATGTCCCAGGAAGGTCCCCGAATCCCTCCCTAAAGAAGCTATGGTTCACTCTGAGCTTCTTCCTAAGAAGTTAAAACTCTTGAATGTCACCCTGTCTGGCAGTCATTTCTTCATACCTACCGGATCCAGCTTCTTCCTCATCAGCACTTCGAAGTAGTGCTTTCTATACAGCAAATCAAATATGTATGTCATCTCATTGTATCGCCCAATGCCAGTGAGGAGACGCACCTGTGGAGAGGCCACTTGCATCAGAATCATCTGAGTTTACCAGACCAGAACACTGCCCCCATCCACCTGGCTGCTTTCAAATGCTAAGCTCCGTCTAGGGTATCTTGCTCCATCGAATGGGCAAGCTGCTATGTATGCCTCGCTGACTCCCGTGCAACAAGGGAGCTTCTGTGCAGGATTTGGAAACGCTAGTCTGGAATGCCACTGGCTGGCTCCCTTCTATGCGTGACACTTACGTGCCTTCTGGGCAGCTCTTCCTCTTCCTTTCAATGGGCTACTGGTTTGCTCACTTTGCCAGGTCAGAATTTAGGGAGGCAAACAGGGCTTGAGTAGGAAATTCACAGATCAGAGGATGGATGACCTAAATTATTGTTCTGGGAGAAGTGTAGCTATCTTGGCCTCTGGAAGAGCAAAATTCCTTGCAGGAGAGGATGGCAGCCCTGGAACATGGCAGACTTCCTATTCCTTTGGAGTAATACCCAATTCTGATGGAAATCATCCTGAGGAGAAGACTGGGCTGC